TGTGAATACATCTCATACTACTGATTTACTGGTACTCTCGAAACTCTACTTTAATACGAAAATAAATACAGATCTTATTGTCTAACTTTTAATCTTGATTTTATATAAGTCTGCTCCAAATAATAAAGAGAGAGAATTGAACCCTCCAAATTTGCATACCCACGAGTATTATTATCAAGCTCTATGACTTGGCATATATCCTCAAGTAAATTTCCTGCCTGGACAAAAATGAATTAAATTCAAGTGAACTCACATTCTGATTAGTAATAACCAATCATTTTTCCAGAATCCTATTATTAAGCTATTTTGGAGCATGCTCATTCACTTTTTTCTCTGTCAGGTTGTCATAAAAGCACGAATCATTTTTTCACACGAAAGTAGAAATTTTATGTCTACGTATTTCCATTCAGCAAGTGAGTATTCCCAACTTGTTTGCTCCATTCATACTTTAGATTGTTTTTTTCTTAGTGTTTTGGAGGTTATACTATGAAGTACTTACTATATTTCCTGTTCACTTTAGTATTCCTTCTACTTGTTTTGATTTTTTTATGTAATTATCCAACCGAATTACAATATCTAGTATTAACTTTATTGTAGCCATATATTAATAATTATATGAATTAGGCTTTTAACTTAGCTATTTTTTCATTAATGTATTTTAGTATATGCCTTGATCTTGGACTAAAAACCGCGTTTAGCTTAGCGTAAAATTAAAGAACATTGCTCATGGTCGTAGTTTCTGCTGTTTAATCGACCTATTTTACAAAGATTTCTTAAGTTTCTTTACTCTTGACAATTATAGTTAGATTTGGTTTATACATTTCTTATTTATAAAAGCTGGTTGCAGAGATAATCTGCTGCATTTATAATTTTAGTGTGGGTAATCAATTTTCTAAAATGAACTGTATTCAGAGAACTTCACAAATAAAAACTTCTTTCCTTAAAATCCTAGGCATTATTCTGGCGAAGTGTCGCAAGTCGTGCATCTTATGACAAGTAATTTGATTTATATTTCTTCCATTTGCAGATAGCCAGGATGTAGGCAACTACGTCAGGTCGTCTACCTATTTATATTGATACATTCTTATATCGTCTTAGCCTGTGTCTCGTTGCTAGCGTTCTATTATAAGCAAATAGGCATAATCTCTGCTTGCACACTGAATTTGTATCTTGCTTTACTTAGCAACTATGCATTGGCCGTTGAATTTTTATATGGCTCTTATTACCTGATTCGCATAAGTTGGCTTATTGTTTGCGCTTGGTTGGGTTGCTTTTTGTTTTTGGCATCCAGTTCACGTGATTCAGATTACAATAGACAATTCTCGTTTATTT